CTCAGTGGCAGACAGAAAACTGCTGGAGCTTAAGTTCAAACAGAATATAAACTATGCCAAGAAGAATGATATCATGGTTTGAGTATGTCAAAACCGATAAATTACTCCTCCAACTGCCACCCCTCCCACTCTCATATTCTTGGAGGACTAGGAAACAACACTGTCATTTGCACTATGCACTTTTTGCTGTCTAACTGAATATAATCTACAGTAAGTGGAATGGCATAATTTGCATTGCATGTGTTAGCTGTAATCAATGGACAGAAGGTTTATCTTCAGCTGGACTTTTCACTGTATTACATTTGGCCCCTTGCTATGTAAGGAGAATTGCACTCATAAATCCTTTGTACCAAAAACGCAATCATCATCTGAGAGCACATGTAACAACAAAAACCATTTAGTCACACACACATTGTCTTTGTAGAGCTTCATTTATAACATGAGAAAACGTGAATTTTATGTATTTTTAAGGGTCTTGCGAGTTGTCCAGTTCTTAATTTTTGAAGTCTTGACCTCAGCACCCCTTCTAGGATAAGTTTAAAATTATTGTCCAACCACAGCCTCTCCAAAAGCACTAAGTGGTGTACTTTTCAAAAACAGCAATAATTGGATAGTGAAGTCCCTCCACAGAAACTCAGTTTTGGGGTTTTGTTTTTGGTTGTTTGGTCGTTGGGTTTTTTTGATTTTTTTTTTTTTTTTTGAAGGGGCACTGAATAAAGAGGTTTACATCTTTAGAGAGAACATTACATCTTTAGAGAGAACGTTAGATGCCACTTAAGATCACAATAATGAAGAGGATAGGTACTGGTTAATGTAATAAATTCTGCCTTTTGTCTGTAGCTCACCACATACTATGCACTCACTGTGCAGCAGATACAGGAGTATCTGCTCATTTGAAGATTACTGAAGCCCTGCTAACCCTTTTGGATCAACGTTACTATGAAAGCAGAAGCCTGGTAGGCGTGTTTTCCAATTTTTCCTCCCCCTATGACCTAAACTAAAAACAAATTCAGCTGTATTTCCTGCCTTTTTTGGGTAAAGAGGGCTGGGAAA